CATAAATCGTCGGTAGGGCCGATGATGGGCCACTTTTGTGTTATTATTTGTACTCATCTATACTATCATAAACGATGATTCATATATATAGTAACATTAATATACGATCGGGGTCTTATTTATAAATTAATATTGAATTATTTTATAATAAAGGGCACACTATAACTAAAAATAGTGTAACATTTATCATGAGTAATTTTTAGTAAATAACCAAGTTCAAACAGTAATCACGTCTAACTATTCTAGGTTATGACGAATCATGAACATTTCCCTGTCGCCTTAATATGTCGTTAATTACAATATTATTATCATAAGATATATACTCGTCGATAGCTTAAGTTAGTTATTATAGTTAAATGACAAATATAATTTGGAAATATCATAATATTAATACTAAAATGTAAAGTCAAATTAATACTGTAAATATACTAAATATACTTTTTATCATTATAGTTAAAAATATAATGAAATGTTCATAAAATTGTAGCTTTCAATTAAGAAATCAAATAATCTATAAAAACAAGTTTCCATTTTTGCTCAAAGTTTTCCCATTTACTTTCAATTCCATGATTTCAGTATTTTACCAAACTCTCTCTCTCTCTCTCAAAGTGTTGGCAAAATTTTGGCACAGTTTCCGATGTCATCACCAGAACTGGTGAGTGAGCCGTATATATGGTGTGCGACATATGGTTGACAACCGGTCCACACATTTGTATTGATGTCTCTATACTTGCGATACGACTCATTCTCTCAACACAAGAGCACTGGTCTTTTAGCCCTCTCTCTCTCTCTCTCTCTCTCTCTCTAATGCCATATATAATACGGACTAACTATACGTTTGACTTCACAAACACTATATCTCTATTAAAAATCATAAATAATAACTCAATTCTCTCTATATATTATAGATAGAGAAATGACAGAAAAATGTTTAGTAGAAAACATATCAAATCCAATATTTGATACAAATATAAATTATAATTATATTTTTTACAGCAACAAAAAATCCAATTTTTTATACATAATCTTTTAATGGCAAGGTTAGTTATAAAATTTAACCATGCAATAAATAATAAGTATAAACTTATTAAATCACAAGCTGATGTTTGCAGTCCTAGAAACAATCATTTGGCATTTTATTTTAAATACATACATGTATAACTTAAATTTAAATTCAAACTACAATTTAAAGCTTAAGCTTGAAATATTTTGCATAAAACTCTACTTTTAAATGAAAACAAACGTCTCATTTGATGTACAAATTCACAAAAACGTATTGAGTTTTCTATACATTTGGATAAACCTAAACATAGAGATAAATTCAATGGAAATTCATTTGGGAAATGTTTTCAAAATCTCTTTCTGTATTATTTTTATTTGTATTTGACATATATTTTTGTATATAAAACTCGCCTCTAATTGAGTGCACATAATATATACAGTATGTCACAAGCATTTAGACAATAGATTTCACTTGCAATGCAAAAAATGTGTTCATTTTCACAGCAAATACAATGGAAATTAATTAATAAAGTTTGAGACAAAATAAAAGTCTTATATAATATTAAAGTATTTATTTGATATATACTGTATTCATAAAATGTTGGTAAAAATTATACACTATATATCTAAAAAGAATATGACTTTTTAAAATAGACTTTTCTACTAATACTATAATCAATAAAATTCTGTAACATTTTGTTTGCCTAAAGATCTCTGTATTTAAATTTGATGCCAAAAGAAATGCATAGAAACTATTTCTAGGATTTGAATACTAAATACATGTAAAATATTTTTTGTCTTGTATTATATGAACAAATAGTTTATTTTATTTTAAGGTTATTTTATATATACTTTTTAGTGAATACAAAATTTCAATATAAAATTCAAAGCATTTAGTTAGTTATAAAATTTTTATATTTCTTTATATTTATGAAAATTGTTTGCATTTAATATTTGAATCACAGAATATTCTGTAATATATGCTAAATAAAAATATATTATCAATAACTACACAAAAATATACCGAGATTTATTTTCAAACAAATTAAAATAATAATATTTAATTTCAAATATTATAACATTAATAGTCATCAAATTTTACCTAGCTTAACATTCATAAGCCCATAAAAACTGCGGCACTTATAATAAAGTAAAAACAAAATGCAATTTATTGGTGAGGAAAGGGATGGAGAGATAAATGCGAATCACGTTTAGACTTAATCTATTGATGTGTTTGACCTAAAAGTGCGATCACTTTGAGAGAGAGAGAGAGAGAGAGAGAGAGAGAGAGACTGCTAGAGTCAATACAAGGAAGCTAATGGGTTGGAAAAATGGTAAATAAAAGGATCTCTCTCTCTCTCTCTCCATCCCTTTGCCTCCCATTTCCAAAGAACATCCACTTTATTCTTCATATTCATTAATCTTGACTTTAAATGTTGGGATCATTGAATGTCAGATACAGGAGAGTTGGGGAGAGAGAAAGAAAGAAAGAGAGAGAGAGAGAGAGAGAGAGAGAGAGAGCTGTATGTATGGCACCGAGCATTGAGATAGTGTTTTGGGTATAAAAATATATTTCCCAAACATCTGAGAGATAGGTATCCCCTAAACAATTGGTTACGCCTTTTGCGAGTCATTTGGCCCACGATTTTCAAGCGATGAAAATTGACTTTAAATTTGTTTTGTAAGCATTACTTATTAGTCCCGGATATATACACTATGTATTAAACATACAGTAAATTCAATTTATGACAATCGCAACCAATTAATTGATTTGAATTTTATTATTAGTGATTTAAATGCCATTATATTTATGCTAACCTATTGTTCTGAAATCAATGTGTTTGAAAATTAACTTTTTGTGATTAATTAAAAATGCAATGCATTTACTACTGAAAAACAGTTAATGTGAATGTAAAGTTAAAACTTTATATTAATTGTAAAAACTGTACATGTGACATAAAATTGTTTCGAATTTTCTAAGATTGATTTATTATCATAATTATATTGGAGATCTGATAATGTGTCCATAATTTTAATGATTATAATTATATATTTAAATGAAACGTTTAAATTAATAAATAAAATTTATGGTAAATTATATTTGAATTTTAATAATGAAGAAAACATGTGTTGCCATTACTTTATAATGGATGTAGAAATTATTACCATGCTTAGAAAAATAGATATAGATAAATCAGTAAAACACTCGAGCATTCAATGG